CCGCCACAAACCTCAGAAAGCTCGGCTCGCGCCCCTCAACAGCCCGCCGCCACGCCTCGCACGGCCTCACGGGAACGCCGCCCCCCGCGCGCGCGCAGAAGACCGAGGCCGGGTCGCAGGGCGACCTTCTGCACAGGCGCAGGGTCGGAAGAGGCGGGGCTGGCTGGGGCGGGCCCCCGGCCTGACGTCTACCAGCAGGGAGCGAGCTGATTGACTCCCTGCCTCAGGGGCGGGGCCGGGGCGCGCGAGGGGCAGGGGTGGGGTGAGGTCTGGGGGTCGCCTAGGCGGGAGGTCCGGCCTCGCACAGTCTCTGGGCCTGTACGTAGTACCCCGTTTGCACCCTCTGAGGAGCCGGCTTTCAGCCGCAGCCTCGTTGGGTCGGGAGCGCGCACCGGAGCCAGCCCCGCCCTGGCCTGCCGGCCGCCCTGTGACCGGGCAGCCCCGGCCCCGAGGCCTCTGTGTCCCGTCCTCCCCGGCCGCGGGGCCGCGCTCCACTCCGAAGTGCGCGTGGACGAGCTCGCGGAGCGGACTTACTCGCCTCACAGCCTTTTACGATGAACGCTGTTTTGCAAGAGCGCTTAGTTACCAAGCCCTCACCTGACAATCCCATTTTCCACATACGACTTTTAAATGAAAGTTGAAACTATAACTCGTATAGACATACAGTGGATATGTGTCGGGATGGAGACGGTTTCCAAGGAGGATGCCGGAAACAAAATGTGTGGTCAGCGAAAGCAGCAGTGCTCAAATAAGATTGCCGAGTTTGATGCAAATCTGGTTCACGCCCTACCGTCCAATGAAACCAGACTTTTGGGGGTTATCATTTGTATTGGGCAGAATTCATTTGCATCTCTACCAGACACAAATCATTTTTAAGTTACCAATCTTGTACAAATTAACATCTAAATGTGCAAGGTTGGGGCCCTGGTCATTACTACATAGTCAATACCCACCCCCCCACCCCCAGCATCAAATGGCCCTAAGGTGGCTTGTTGGACAATGTCCTTGTCTAGTGCGACATCGGAAGGGCAAAAGTCTTTCCGGATAATTTTTCTTAGTATTTTTAAGAAGAGAATAATGTTCTGGGGCAGATACCATGAAATTAATCTTGAACATATTTATTAATTCGTTTTACTTTTTTAACCCTCCTCTTCTAAAAGACGATAAAGCCTAAAATGATCGGAAAAACAAACATTACAGGAGAAAAAATTCACAGAGCAGTGCCCGGCCTGAAAGCAGGGGCCTGGACCCGGGCGGGCGGGGAATGGTCCCGTTGGTGTGAGCTGGGAGGCTGGGTTAGAGCCCCGGGACCGGGAAGACTCACTCCTTTGCCCAGCCGTGGGGATGGGGATGGGGATGGGATGGGGGTGAGCTGCGGGAAGAGGAACCGAGCAGCTTTCTGCGGAGGAAGGGCAGGCTGTGGAGGCAGCGCCTTCAAGAAATTCTGCTGAGGAGGAAAAGACTGAGGGAGAGAGAAAACAGCAGGACGACAGGAGATGAGGGGGTGGGAATGCAGAGCTGGGGGGAGGGCTTGGGTTTTGTTTTGTTTTAAGATGGGAGGAACTTGGGGATATTTATAGACTGTGAGGAGGAACTCAGAGGAGACAGAAGTAAGGATGCAGAAAGAAAAGAGCTGCTTTCATGAAAGATCCCTGGGACGTGGGAGGGTGAGACCCCAGCACATGGAGGCTGAACTATAAGCCCACTTTTCCTAGTGACTCCCGCGTCGTTTCCTGGGCCCACAAAATTCCGCATATGACTTTGAATTGCTGACCGCAGTTATCTGCCTGAAAGATGTTCGTGCAGCCAAAAAAAAAAAAAAAAAACAGCCCTAAAAATATAAAGTAAAAATCACAACGGTGTTAGCCTCCAGGGTACAAATGACAAATACTAGAGGGTTATCTACCCAGACTCAGAAAGTTTTCCTTGGGAACTTGATTTATTAGGGCACTTCTTTACTTGAGGTTGCATTCGGAATTTAAGAAAGCAAGCGTGTTACACTTACTTCCAGGACAAGCTTTCTTTCCTCCAATCAAAATCACTTGGGGTTTTAGTGGGGAACCTAGGGAGTCAAAAGGTAAAGGGAACCGGTGATGATTCTTCCCTGCGAAGGCCCACGAGACTCAGTTGGACTAAACAGACCAAAATGTGAGTGTGTTTGTTATTTCCTTCCTTCCTGTGGAAATCTTTTTTCCCCTATTGATATTAAAAAGAACTTTAGGTTTTGGAAGATTTCTTTTCAGATACGTTAAACTGCAGTCTGATGATGAAGACCTTTTGTTGTCAGATGTGTGGATGGCTTTCAGTGACGGTGGTGGGAGTCCATCCTTCAGGTGGGGGAGTGACACTCTCACACAGTGTTAGAAGCTCGATGCTGCAGTCACAAAAGTGACCATCGGCGGCAAGAGACAGATGCTGGGAGCATCCTGTGCACTGGCGGGGGGTGGGGGGGGTAGGGCAGAGAGCAGCCTGGAGGGCAGACGCCTGGGGCCTGATGGCCAGGGAGAGCCAGAGTCTGGATGACTGTCGGTGTGCAGCTGAGTAAGAAGTGGCTCTGGTTCCTTTCCTCCCTCCTGGTCCTTCCCCTTCAGAAGAACCACTGTGTACCTTACACTGTGGGGCTGGAGGAGGGTGGAAGGAGAGTGCGTTTGTCCTCCATCACGTTGACAATCATGTGCGAAGGTGAAAACTCAGTCCTCAAACTCCTGAGTGGCTGGGGGTGAGGAGCTGCCCGAGACGACCCGGCGGGGGTGGGAGCAGCGAGGCACGTGGAGGGGGTTGGCGGCTCCTAAGGATCACCAGGACAGGCTGAGGCGGCGGCAGGTTGAGAGCGACCGCAAACTAGACGGGTAAGAGGATAATCCCACTGACATTCTGGAAAGATCCCTGTGAGGCTAGTGTGCCCTGAGGCTTGGCCTGGCGAGGAGCTGGGAAAGGAGGGAAGGAACCAGCCTGAAAAGGGCCTGGCCACTGAGTAGCCAGCTTACCCCAGCACTGATCTGGGCGGCCATAACCCCAGCAAAAGTGCGATAGGAAGACCCACTTCCCGGAGGAGTTGGGAGCCGGGAGCTGGGAGCCGAGGGGGTGGTGAGTGTGGAGGGACGGGGGAGAGAGCCGGGGTGGGCTTGGGCTGAGCTGAAGGCACAGGAGTGGGTGGGGAGAGGGCAGGGCACCTGGGTTTGATCCTGGAGGCGATGGGGGCAAGAGGACCACCAGAAGCCATCTGGCTGCCAAGGAGAGCATGGGCGGGAGGGTTGAGACTGAGGCAGGTGTCCTCCCGCTTGGGGCGTGGGTGGTGCTTGCTATAATCCAGGCTTGACACTCAGAGATGGCACTGGGCTGTGGAAGGGCTTCCCAGAGGGCTAGGTCGGGTCCCAGGGCCACCACCTTCCGGTGGGCAACCTAAGGCAGGCACCTTCCCTGAGACTCAGCTACCTGTGAGACAGGCCCAGGGTGAGGACCTCAGGTGCTAACTACCTCGTGTCTAGCCCTGACGCCCTCAATAAAAAGTGATGGTGATTTAAAGTCATAGTAATATTTAGATTCAAATACTCCCACTTACATTCATGCCCGAGTCCTGTCGGCTCAAGGCCCCAGCTGCATTCCGAGTAGGATGCCCTCCTTTTCTAGAGGTGCCCCCAGGGGACTCACACAGGCTCAAGAGGCCAGAATACTGCTTCCTGCCGGGGGAGGGAAGACAAGTCAGACGCCCCAGGGTCCCTCTAGGTCCTCTCCCACAGATGCGCACCAAACCCGCTGGCAGGTCTTGTGGAGCCGCCTGTGTGCGCTGTGCCTGAGCCCAGCATGGCAGTCCCGGTTCCCAGGAAAGCCCCGTCCTGGCTGCCCGACTCTCTGGGTGGGCACTTCCTCCCCAGGCTGCGCTCCCTGGGGCCACACCACCTCACACCCCTACCCTGCACAACAGGACGTCCTGGGGACAAGGAGGGTTCCTTGCGCTGCAGCCCTTAGAGCCAGCAGCCGCTGTGAAGAAAGGGCACAGGCACACGCGGGTGGGCTGCGGGCACCAGCAGAGGACACCAGGCAGGCGCGGAGCACCCTGAGAGCCTAGCTTTCCTCATGGGGCAGTGCCCCAGCCCCAGAGGCAAAGTCTGAGGCCGGCAAGAGCTCCTGCTTGGCAAACAGGCCAAGGCTGGCGGGGGGGCAGGGCTTCCACCTTGACCCCCACCTTCATCTCCAGGTGACTGTCCAGAGAGGCAGCTGTGATGGTGGGGTCTCGGTGGCCGGCTAGTAGGTCTCCTGGGACCCGACCTAGCCCTCTGGGAAGCCCGTGGTCTCCTGGGACTCCCAGAAAGCCGAGGCTATGGGCAGGGTGCTGAGGACTACCAAGGCCGCCAGTGGGCTCAGGCTCCCTATGGAGGCCGAGGGGAGGGGAGCCCAACACGGTAATGGAAAGAACCGGAAGCCAGAGAGGTGAGGTATAAAAATCTGTATTTATGTTACAAAGACAGAACGGTACAGCACAGTCCCTTCTGGTGAACAGGCGGGTGGGTGGCCCATCTCTGTCCAGCGTGGCTCTTGTAACATGCCCACCTGGCCAGCACCAGGCCCCCTGGGCGGCCCCAGACTCTGGCTCAGAACCTGCCCTACCGCCCAAGACGTGGCTGCGTGTGGTCAGAGTCCTTCATGCACGGCAGTGGCGGGGACTCGGTTAGCTGGCCCAGAGAGACGGGGTGGAGAGTGCAGGAGCCCTCCCACCCAGCAGGTGGGGACTGTCTGGGGCAGACACGAGGGCGGGGGCCCTCGGGGCCATAGTTGGGCTCATGGCTCCATCCACCCGAAGAAGTGAGCTTGGGCGCCGTGTTTCTGAGACCCGCTCTGCCCGGGCAGGGTCAGGGCCCACGGTGGGGTGGGGTGTAGGGGGGGAAGCCTTACTGCAGCCGCCCCAGCTGGCTGGGCCTGCACTGAGGCTTGAGGGCCGCCTCGCACTGAGGGCACAGACCCAAACCTGAGCCTGGGCTTCCAAGCTCTCGGCCACCGAGGCCCAGGTGGGCGTGGGAGGGCACACGCAGAGAGGGCACTGGACGCCCGGGGCCCTGTTCTGGTCCCGCTGGCTCTCTATGGACCCCACAACACTCAGGTTTGCTCTTAACAACCCTGTAGGTCCCCCCGGCCAGCAGCAGGGGGGCCAGCAGCAGGGGCTGTGCCGACGGCCGGGGGAGCGGGGGTGTGGGTACGTGAGTAGCTCTAGCACCAGACCCTCACTGGTGTCTGCTGGTGGTAAGGAGTGGCATCTGGGACCCCAGCACCTCTGGATGGCCAGTGATGCCAACTCCCCGGTCCACACGGGAACCGAGGCCTGAAAAGCCATGGGCTGAGCTGCCCGGAAGGTCGGCTGAGGGCCACAGCTAGTCACCTGGGTAGGATCCTGCCGGCCAGAGAGGGGAGCAGGACCTCCCCCACGTGTCGGGGCTGGCTGGAGAAGGGATGCTTTAAGAATTCAGAACACGGGCCATCCCGGGGACCTGGAGCTGTATCTCCTGAAGAACGCTCTTAAAGGTGGGTGTTCCTGCCCCACTCAGGTGGTGCGGGGTCCTCACAAGGAGTGCTCAGTGGGAGTGCTCTGGCAGACGGCGGAAGCCCCTTCCGGGTACGCTGGACCCCAGGGGACCCCAAGGGCGCTGGAAGGAGGTGCCAACACAACACTTTGCCTTGCAACCACCGGCAAAACGTTCGGATGGTCTCCCCGGCCGCGTGCACCGCCCCCCCACCCCCACACAAGCCTGCTCTCCACCGCCATCCCCGGCCCGTGGAGGGCAGGTTCTGTGCCAGAGTTGTTTCCAGGGATCCCTTGCTGCTTCAGCAGGCCACCCACCTGGGGTGTCCGTCAGCGTGACAAAGATAAACACAGATCTTCCCCCTGCGATCTGGAAATTGTCTGCAATGCACCAGACAGGGAAGCCGAAGCTGCTGTGAGTCAGCCCAACAGCCCTCCACCTGAACGCTGCTGTGTGGTCCCCGGGGACAAAGACCCAGGGACAAAAGGCCAGGAGAAGCCTCCCAATGCCCAGGCCGGACCGCCCAGGGTGAACAGCTGTCCTCAGCAGCTGCTGACAACTGACACCCGGAGCCCTTGCTCAGGTCGGGAGGAGGCAGGCTTCAAGCTAGGCGTAGGGAGGAACCCATTTCTCTGGTAGCGGCCGCATCCACACCCCCCACACACCGCCCCCGGCCCCAAGGAGGCCAGGCTGCACGGGTCACGGCCCCTCCCCCCAGGTGACAGAGCGCCACCCTGCTGCTGCACAGCCACCGACCTGACCTGGCCTGGCTGCCAGGAGAGGCGCCCCACGGGGAGTAGGCCAGGAGGGCACCTGGGGGCGTCCCGTGAGCCACGCGGGAGATGCTGGTGGTGGCGGTCGGGTGGAGCCAGACACGGGACACAAGGCACGCTTGGACAACGGTGACAGACAGACGAGTCCCTGAGACGCTGGGTCGCTCCCACCCCTCAGCAAACAAGGACGCGATAACGGCTAGGAAAATAGAGTAGAAAAATCTCGTACAGGAAATAGGCGGCACACACCGGCATCACGGCCTCTTTCTCTTTTTAAAAATGTTTCTCCGTGGTTTTTTGGGAAAAGCTTCTCTCCCGGGAGCCTCCTTCTGGGCTTCTGGGCAGTGCAGCAACTTTTTGTTTTGTTTTTGTCTTTTAAAGGGAGACAAGCAAGCCCTCTGAGGACCCAGTGGTTTCAACTCATAGCCCCCAGCACTCCTCAGCCCCTGCTGGGAGGAGAGGTCCCTTCCCTTGGCCAGACTGGGCAGGGGAGCCGGGGGGTGGGAGGGGGAGCCAGGCACAGGCCGCGGGCCAGCATTTGCCCAACTGACCCTTGAAGGCCCCGGGACATGCGCCCTCTGGCTCCCAAGGACCTCTGGGTCCAGTGACCACGTGTGTCTGCATGTGTGCACGTGTGTGCGGGCAGGCGTGTGTGCCTAGGTGCATATGCGTGTGTACATCTGAGGGATCTAACGACAGAGCAGAAGCCGCCCAGATCGGAGTGGGGTAGCCTGGCAGCCCCCAGAAGCCCAGCCCTGGCTCCTGACACCTGGGGGTGCCAAGGCCCCCGTCCGCCCACCTGCCCCAGGGTGCTCACCCGAGTCCCGCCCTTCATGGATCCCTCTGTCCACGCCTCAGGAGCCTACGTGGACCGACAGATAGACGGACGGATGGACGGAGAGCCGCGCCTTCCTTCCTTCGTCGGTCTGCTCCTTTCTCCTGGGGGCTGGGGTTGGGGTCTGAGCTCCCCGTGGTGGTCATTAAGCCCCTCACACGGCGCCCGCCGAAGTTTGCAGCAATGATGTTTAATACTTCTGGAATGATTAGGAATCTGAGAACAGACCGTGGGCGGCTATGCTGGGCTCCGGGCCCCGGGAGCTGGGCCCCGCCTCCCCGTAGGGGTCCCTGCCTGAGTGGGAGGAGTGGGCGGCGCGGCAGGCCCTGACCGGCAGGCGGGCGGAGGCGGGCAGCCCAGGCGGCAGCCGGAGCTTCCAGAATGGCACAGCAGTGGGCCCGTGGAGAGACTTCAAGGACCGGAGGGTTGACACGCTCGGCTGGGCGGGCGGGCGGGCGGGCAGGCCGG